TATATATATATATATATATATATATATATATATATATATATATATATATTTCAGCCCAACAAAGAGGGTCATTCCAAGCCTTATATGCCATTTTTATTACTCTCTGAATCTACTGGATAAGCAATAAAGTGGAAAAGCACTTTCACCTATTTTCCTGATATTGGTGTTCAGCACTGCACAGCACTCTAATTCTATCTGCAAATCAGTGGTAAGATTTAGCCTGGAGTCTGAGCGACAAGAACTGTTCCTAAGAAAATCCTCAGTTGTTTATAAATTTTGTATTAGCAGATGTGCATTAATGTCTCCTTTTTATTAATGAACACAGAGCATACTTATTGGAATTTAATGCAAGGATGTTACAGATCCCTGAAGTGAAATTAGTTAAAGAGAAATTAGATTTATTTGTTGAGGATAAGTCTAGCTCTAGTAATTAAACACTATGGTCCAACATATGGCACAGGGCATTGCAAACTTGATGACTACTCAGACTGGAAGAACACAGGAGGAAAAGGAAGGGTCTGTACCTAACTTTTGGCTTTTCAACCATATTTCTGTCATAAATGCAAAATCACACTTCTGTTGTATGACAGGGTAAGAAAACCTTTTTTGAATTTCTGAACATTTCATGCATGTTCTGTCCTGAAATCTTCCTTCTTTAGCTGAATAGGTGCCCACCAGCTGGGATAAAGTCAGTGTCAGCTTCCAGTCCAAAAGCAATCATTCACTCACTCTGAAGGACAGAGTTCAATATCTAAAATCTACTATTTGAACAGAAATTACTTTTTTTTTTTTTTTTCCCTACTCAGACTATCCAAGGGATTGCTTTCAGATTTTTCAGCGCTCCAAAGGAAATTCCAGAGATGGTCTTTACATCATCCAACCAAAGGAGGACCCAATTGTTGTTTCTTGCAACATGCAGGATGGTGGCTGGACAGTAATCCAGCACATTACAGCCAATAGTACTGTCGACTTCGATAGGACCTGGCAGGATTACAAATATGGATTTGGCTCTGTTCATGACAACCACTGGCTAGGAAATGAATATATGCATCAGTTAACTAGCAGCTCTGTGCAATATATACTTGGAGTTAAACTTGTAAACCTAAATGCTGAAATCAAATGGGGACAGTATGAACCATTCCTTATTGAAGATGAGGAGTCTCAATACCGAATCAGGGTTGGTCTATACAAAGGCAACGCCACTGATGCTCTGACCCTGGACACAGAAGCTTATCTCCATGACAACCAGAAGTTCACCACCAAGGACAGAGACAATGATAATTACTTTCAGAATTGTGCTAAATTGGAACACAATGGCATTCCGGGGGGAGGCTGGTGGTATGACGCGTGTGCTGGAGCAAATCTAAATCGTAGGAACGTGATATACTGGCAAAAGGACTGCAACAAGCAACACATGTGCAAGTTTGCGTGGATGATGATCAAACCCATTGACCACAGCCTATCAATTCCAATCAAGCCCTGTCCGTGTCAGAAAGTTGAATTGTAGATAAGCCGTGTGTATTTTGAAAGGAACGTGGATTCTTTGTCCAGTGACTGAAGTGAACTCACGCTGATGGAATAATCGCACTAAGTAATCATGATTGAAAATTTAATTCAGGTCTCTGCAAGGGCTTTATGATAGCATATCATCCAGGGCTGGACCAGGACATAGACATCTACCAACCACAGAAGGGAGAAGTCACTGTCAAAAACTGAGGCCTCTACCAGAAGATTTAAATAATTTTATAGTATTTTAGCCATAAAGGCGTCAGGTATGAAATACAGGATAAGATGTCTTGTATGAGATATACATGAGTATACATGCATTTCGGGAGGTTTTGCTCCAGTATGAACATTCATGGTTGATCTCCTGTAACTGCACATCTTCACATATCATGCAGGAAGGAAATTTCCAGTGAAGCACCTACGTTTACAAAATGCATATTGGACAGTACTGTGTACCATAAGGCAGCATCAGGTCTTTCTTTTTTACCTTTAGTGAAAGGTATTTTAATATATAAAATTGGAATTATCCTCATCTCCCATGGCTTCTTTTCCCCTTCATTGACTCTTCTTTTTATCTCTACTTTTTAATGATCCCATGCACAATAAAGTATTCAGCACAGGCTTTTCTTCCTTCTTTACAGAGCACCCAGAGCTAATGGGATCATCAGCTTTCCCATTTAAAGCTACTAATCCAAAGCTTACAACTACTCTGAATTTTTCCCCAAGAAACTCAGTGAACACATTTTTAAAAGATCAAATTGATGCTGCAATTGTTTAGTTATTGCTCCATTTTTTTCCTGAATATTACTCCACTCTGTTTACCATGTTTTGACTGTTGTTTCTCCCTGTTCCAGCTTCAGTCTTCTCTTTTTTTTTAATATCACTCTGTGAAAAGAAGAGAGTGCTGGCTTTATTTCAGATTTGCTAGCTTCATTTGTTTTGGCACTCAACCTTGTCATTATTTAAACGGTACCTTTTTTCTGATTATAAAATAAAGAGAGAATCTTTAAATTTCATGATAAATTCATCTGTTTTAAGACAATAAATAGAAGGATTTCAGTTTTGATAACCCTGTAGACCTTGTTTTCTTTTACAGCTGTATTGGTTACTTCTCACATTGCTATAGCATTGCAAGAGCTGAATGACAACTGAAGAGTTTTCATTGTTGCATTATACAAAATGTCAGGATAATAATTAGATTATCTTGTATACTGGCAAACTCCTGCTTTTAATTTAAAAATGGCATCTCATCATTTCCATGAAAATTACTTCACAGAAAATAAATTGTATTGTGGTTTGTGAAGATCAAGACTGCCAGGATTACTTAAGAAGAGAAATTCATTGGGAAGTGGAAAAGCCAAGAAAGCAATTTATAGTTTTTACAATGTACCGCAACATTTTCAGAAAGAGATACAGATATGTTATGTGGGTGAGGCCAATATAGCACACATGTCTATTTTGCACCATCTGGGTTTTTTTTTCCCCTGAAATTGTGTGCAAAGACAGAAGTGTGATAGGGGAAGAAATGGATAGTAGCTGAATTAAGTTTATATCATTGTGTCAATTTAATGTGGGTTCTGCTGTAACTCTATCAGGATGCCTCCAAAGTTTTAATGAGGATACAATCACCCAAGTGCTGCCACTCTCTCATAGCTTTTATTCAAATTCCTGGCCATATAGTCAGATACTCAAACACCTTCCAAAAATGTGTTTTGAATAATATTGACATAGAAGTGCACAACTGACAGCCAGCAGGCTGCATCTGATCCTCAAAGGCAAGTAACCTGCTCTGCAGCCCCCCCTTGGCCTGTTTTGGAGGAAAGGACTGTGCAAATAAGCTGTATGAATGACTTGGGCACCAGCAGCCCAAATCCAGCTGCACAGTTTTGGAGGCACTCTCTAGTATAACTGGAGCCCTACAAACCTATGCTGACACTGAATTCCTGTATGGGAATTAGATTAAAATGTAATAATGACTCATAACAAGCAAAAAGATGACAGAAAAATTAATCCAGTTCAAACAAAGACATTTAATGGAACTCAGAAACTGAGATACATTCCACACTTTTAAACAAATTATAGATGGAAATGACTACTGGAGCTGGGTTTGGGACTAAGTAATGGATGAAAATGAGTAAGAATATTCCAATACACCCACCAGCATGTCTTTACAGAGGTCTTAAAGAGAAGGACATAGAGACTTAAAAAGTGGACTAAATTCTAGCTTGTAATTCCTTAGCAAAAGGCTCTCTTAACTGAACAGATTTTTTTTCTCCATCACTGTAAGGTGCGTCCTCCAAGAATATCTGATGGAAAAAATTATTTGGTCAAACAAATATCTTTCCAAAATGAGGAAGCATGACAAGGTCTAAAGTAATAAGTATATGGCTGACTTCCATCTCCAAGCACCCCTGAATGGGAGGGATGTTCCACTTTAAATATGCAATCTCCTAACAATAGCCAAAAAATAGGTTTCTTCACCTCTCTACTACTTTGTATTTCTCTCCGTACTGTTTTCTCAACTGCAGTAAAGGTAAGCACATTCTCACATACAATATCACATTAATCATGTGTTGTTCAGCCCAGAGGAGAGAAGGCTCTGGGGAGATCTTACAGTGGCCTTCCCGTACTTAAAGGGGGCTACAGAAAGCTGGGGAGGGACTCTTTATCAGGGAGTGTAGGGATGGGATGAGGGTGTAATGGTTTTAAACTGAAAGAGGGTAGATTTAGATTAGGTACAGGGAAGAAATTCTTCCCTGTGAGGGTGGTGAGGCCCTGGCACAGGTTGCCCAGAGCAGCTGTGGCTGCCCCCTCCCTGGCAGTGCTCAAGGCCAGGTTGGACGGGGCTGTGAGCAACCTGGGCTAGGGGAAGGTGTCCCTGCCCATGGCAGGGGGGTGGGAACTAGGTGAGATCTTTAAGATCCCTTCCACCCAAACCATGCTATGATTCTGTGATGAATAATCAACTCAGAATTTAGCAGAAGGAAAAATTTTTCCTAAAAAAATATTAGCTGAGAATATAAGAGAGCCCGATGACCTCTTTCTAGCAAAACCACAGATTTCACAGAATCATCTAGGTCGGAAAGGAACCTGGAGATCATCTAGTTCAACATTCACCTAGCACAGTTCCCACCTACAGCATATCCTTAAGCTCTGATTTATTATTGTCTTTAAAAATCATTCAACTTTAATATGAGAAAGTGCTTGCTTTTTTTTCTGATTTTCATATATGTGATCTAAACAATAAATTTCCAAACTTCCAATTAACTTTTTTTTTACATGTTTAACCATAGATTTACAAGTATGACAAAGTGATTTTAGGATCAAGTATTGAATACTGTGCATCAATAAATTAGCAAAATTACCTGCCTGGGCTCATTTTTTCTCCTATAATTAACAAATCAAAGAGTCTTTTAGTCATTCTCATGTCTTCTGTATTCCAGGCATAGTGGTGGGGTACAGAGCTAAATCCAGCCATACTTGGCAGCTGGTATCTTTCACTGTACCCTCTCTCCACTCCTCCATAAGGAGGCCTTATATATGGCATACAGAAAAGACAGCTGTCTGACCTCCACTATGGCTAGATGGCTGCCTCATGTCAGGAGTAAAAAATATTCCAGTTTATATCTTGACATTGTAATCCAGGATTTCAGTAAAAATCCCCAAATTTCAGAGGTCTACTGAAACAGGAGCCATCAGCCACCAGAGTTTGGAGAAGTACTTGTTGTTGAGAAGGAAACTTCTGAAGGATTTTAAATGTCTAGTTGTTTGAGGAAGGCCAACTTCTTTGATATATCAGCAGATACATAAAGAAACTAATAGCATTCAGTAGCTAATGGCATAAGTACTGAGTAAAAGGCAGTGGTTTTACTGAGTGTAATGAAAACTGAAGTTCCTAATCTGATACATAGTCAGTAGTGCCTATTAAACCTGAAGAAATAAATTTTTCAAAATGGAAAAAACAATTGCAACACCATCCTTTTCCGAAATCACTAGTAGTCATTGATTATTTCTAGTTTTACAACACAATGCTATCAGGGGTTTTTGTGTTTGTGTTTTTTTTTTTTTTTTTTAAACTAGATATAGCTATGGGGTAACTATTAATAAAATCATAAAAAGTTTATTTGAATGAAGAAAGTTTAAGGTTTTATGACATCCAGCTGTCAACTGTATGTGGAAGAAAATTTCTTAGTGTGTACAAAAGGCAACAATGGAGTTCTGGAATGACCACATAAGAAATAAACGGCCTCTTTCTGATTTGGTAGAAGGAAAGCCAAGTATTCAAGCAAAAAGACATAGTATCCCTTTTTGGAGTTCAGGTTTGGAAAGGGCATTTTAAAACAGAGAAGACACTGACTACCCAGTAGATGTGTAGAGCATTTCAGGAGCTGATGGAGAATTGGGAGTCCCCAAGACAAACACTGCGGGGGAGCCTTTCAGAGGGAAGTTCTGACCTGTAATGGTTTGTAGATCATAAAAGTAGTGAATGTGGGGTGTTGATTTATTTAAAAAAAAACCCCAACACCTTCTTTAATATCAAAAAAGAATAAGCAGTATGGAGTTTTTTGGGCAGAGTCCTTTCCAACAGAGAGGCACCCAGATGTACAAGTCACAGCAAATGGTAACTACGGTTGTGTACAACTGAGCAAACAGGTATTTGTTTCTCACCATACCTAAGTGATTCCTTCTTATTATTTCTACCTCTAAAGAAATCAAAGAAAATTAATTTCAGAGGAAAGTTACAGCATTCTGTTTGCTCATTTTCCTAGAATCCAGAGAAAGCAGTATGTATGTCTCCTAAAAATTACAGAGTAACTTTAAAAAAGAAGAATTTTTTTTAAAATAATCACAAACTATGAAGATGTGATTTGGAAACTGTGTTTCCTACCACAAGTCAAGAACCATGTTACAAAATTTTATGCAAAATCCAGAATCTGAAAGAAGCCCACAGTATTCAATTCGGTTTCAAACTAGGTATCCAATTTCATACCAACTGCATTCTGCAAGAAAGCAGCATCTTCCAGATTGATATGGGATTCTTTAATTGTTGCAATGACTTCTCTTTTAAATTTAACATACTTACTGCATCCCAGTGACATTTTTATTCCTTCAGGTATATGACTATCCTTAGCTACTTTGCATTCATATTTCTCAACTAAATTAGTTTGACATGTTTAGGTCATCTATCAAATATGACAAGGAGGCAATGTCACAGGTTCTGAGAAAAGACCTATGAGGGAGATTAAATGATCAGAACAATTAAATTAGAGATAGGGACTTTTTATGAGACTCAGTTCTAAAACTGGAACTTTTAAAGGGTGATAGGGAAGTATAATTAAGGATCTTGCCTTGAAGTGCATCACTGTCTCTGGATCTAGACTTCTTAAATCCATATATCCCAGTGCAGGTCTCATTATGGATACAACAGAGATGAGGAACAAAAAATCCACATATTAAAAAAAATTTTAACAGTTAATAGCTGTTACTAATTGACACGCATAGTTGAGCAGGATAAACATGAAAAGCAACTGAATGATATAATTAATGGCAAAATATGCTCTATCATATTTTATGGATTCTTACAGTATTTTCTCTATAACTCTTACGATTTCATTCTTCCTCAATTCAACGGGATTTTTCTATAATGGAAACTCCTGCATTTATGTTCTACCTTGACTTTCCATCCTTTGCAAAGCTCTTCACTCTGTGCTAAGTAGTAACAGAAAATACAGAACTATAACTAGGTGTTCTATACCCATTTGAAATTTCTGGGAACTCTTCCAAGTATTTATCTACAAACATAAATTATATTTATAGAAAATCAATGTTAATTGATAATTTATGGGAATTTGGTATGCATGAAAAGGGAGGGACAAAGATGATACCCCCCGTTTTTTTTTTAAATGCAATATTCAAAACTATTTAAACGTGCTGGGTTTCTGAAAAGCTTAGTTAGGGATGTATATTTATGCATCTATATTGATAATATTATACTTACATACATATCTATAGATATGTATGTTTATGTATATAAATAAAATGCAATTTTACAAAGAAAGATCTTTTCACCAGTCCATGACCATAACCATAATTAATCATAGGATCAGTAAAAGGTTCATTAAAAGGACAGAAATACAGACAACAGATTGTTCTACACTGTAAAAGTCCCACAACACCTTTTTTAAAAGTACAAAATATGATTTGAAAACAAAATATAATTAAATAATGATATTCTGATGAGGATCCCATTTTTCTTTTTGTGATTTTTTTTTTTTTTTTTAAGAATAAACATCCTACATAACAATAAAGCAACACACACCTCTTTATATATTCTAGGTATTTACAATGTACCCATGTTTGGCCATGTAACATCTCACATGGTGAAGTGCCAGTAGATAGTTTGAGCACATATTTCACATATTTCACGTATTGAACCAACATTGCTGCATTCATCACCATGTATTCTAATACATTTACTGAGCACAGAGTCCATAAACATTTACAGAACATTCTTGCTCAACAGAAGCCAAAACCAACAAAAAGTATCCCATTTGATGTCAGTAGAAGCCGATGCTTTACTTTAGCAACAATACTGCAGCTAGCAGGAACTGTTACTGCCTCATAAATTTTGCCTTTAACTACAGCTTGTGCCACAGAGGGACACATTCATTTGGTAAAAATCAAACACGATTTACTGAATGTCTGATCCAATGTAATATAAAATAAACCCCTATAATAACCAATTTGTACATAGTTACTGCACACAGGAAAAGCTCTGGATAGCGACAGAGAAAAGTTGATGAAAGCGTCTTTACAAAGACCCATACTTTCCTTTAATAAGCAATCATATGCTAATGCACAAAAAATAATAGCCAAGGTATTGTGTGTTATAAACTCAATCCTGTGAATTTAGAGAACGTATTTTTACATTACTACACTGCTAATCTTTCACTGACACAATTTTCCCCTCTGGAGATTGGGGATAAAAAATATTAATTACCTGTACTGTGGTGGTTGACATGGAGGAATTATTTATCTGTCAGGTAACATTTTGATGGTATGATAATAAATTCTACAAATAATTTCACTGAGAGCTATGGTACATTCAGGATGACTAATACAATCCCCAAAATGTGCAACTTGATCATGTCACCACTGCAATGGCCCACTAAAGTGTATAGTGGATATAACATGAAGATGGGCCCAAACTAATATTCCAGAGCATCTCACCCTGAATTTTGGTAGAAAGGCTAGAACTGAATCTGAACTTTGTGTACATGGAGATTTTTCTCATTTATTCATAAACATTTGTTTACTTTATAACTTCATACTTTATAGCTCCTGTTGCCATTAACTTTGTTTTCTTGTGGCCTTTCCTGAGGCTTCATATCCCACCCCACGGAGCCAGGTGACCAGCTCCGTTCCAATGGCCTGCTGCAGAGGGCAGCCCCTTGCTCATGCACTCACTCACTCAGTGCTGCAGGACTCCTGCCTGACACAGACATCAGACAGACACATGCCATTCAACCCTGCCACAGAAGTGTCCTCACCACAGACCCAAAGCCCTGGCAGACCTCAGCTAGTGGCTGGAGTCTCAGCTCATTCTAACTAGGCCAGTACAGCCCAGTCCCCGAAGCCACAGCTCTTAGAGGGCTTGACTTCAGCTCCCAGTACTGCAGCAGATATAGTTCTGCTGGACCAAAAGATAGTGACTGGAGATAACTTATGTTTCCAAACCTGATGTTGACTAGTATTTGTAAAGCTATTTAAAGATAAAAAGTGCTATGAAAGTGCAAAGTGTCCTTAATAGTTTTATTGAAATATTAAAAAGTTACTTAAAAAACCTTTCTTCTTTCAGAGATGCCAATTCTGTCACTGTTTACAATAATTACATAATATATAGGTAAATGCATAGGGCATTAATACATATTTTTCTTTTGAACTACATTGTTCCATCAGTACTGGAAACTTTTGGGGCAAGGGGAAGCACAACAAAGGAGATTACAAAAAAGACCTTCCTTGTGTTGTAAAGTAGATAGTCTATGTCCATTATGCTTTACAGTCAGCTCTGGTTTGTACCACTATCACATAAAATTTTAAAATATTCTTCAGAGGCATTGGGAAATGGAGAAATTCAGAGGTATTGGCTAACCATCACCATTTTTTACAAATGACAGTCACTTGCATGATGGAACTGAGATTGGGACTAGCTTCTTATACAAAATACATTATCTATTTCTTCCACTATGAGCCCTTCCTATGTTTCCACAAAAGTCATCCTTAAAGTGGAAAGTATTACATTCTCCTATAATATGTGTGTGCATTTGGAGTATTATGAAACTCCCTAACCATTTCATATTGGGGATGACAGCATTTCCCCCTTTAAATAGTCCTTGTTTCATTCCAACAGCAAGTGGAAAAATCTCAAAACAGAAGTAGTATGAGCTTCATTGCTTGGTGCATTGAAAACTAAAAAGACAATACATTAGAAAGGAACTATAGGAAGAAACAGGGAGATAGACTGGATTACCTGACCTGATGACTAGATGACCATCCCACTCTAATTTCTAGTAGTTTAGAATATACTCTACATATTCTCAGGTTGAAAGAAAGGACAGAAGACCCCAAATATAATAACTTTAATGCAGATCTACTGCATAACCAAAACCACTCTGTGTTGCTCATAGCAGCCACTGACTCCTTTAACCCAAGCACACTGCTTTCACACAAAATTTTACTTTTCTGCAGAATATTTTTAACCCCTAGACATATAAAGCAACAGCTTTGAAGAGACAGAATTACAGTCAATTTACAGGTTACATCAATATCTGTTTTCCCCTTTATCCCTTATATAAGAGCAACTATGGCAGTCTGGTATTGCCCTGCCAGTATAGTTTCTCTTCCACTTTTTTCTTTTTCCATTGGCAGAAAAGCAGCATCTTAAAAGTCTTCCTGAAAGTTTTGTTACAGAGGGCATAACAAATGGGGTTAACAGTGCTGTTCACATAGCATAGCCAATACCCAAGGTGCCACAGTGTCAGGGGAATGCAATCAGAGCAGAATGTGGAGATCAAAACCATGATATTGTAGGGAGTCCATGTGATGATAAAAGCCAAAAGAATGGCACTTAAAGTCTGTGCTGCTTTGCGTTCCTTTATCAGAACCATCCGTTTCCTTTTAGTGATTTGGTTATTTATATTTGGATCCATGCTTTTGATGGAAGGATCCTTTGACAGAGCAGCAGAGCAAGGAGTTATTTTTACTTTACGGCAACAATTGTTGGCTTCCTGGGTGCCATCAGCTTTAACCACCAACCGAAATTTATAGGCCACACATTTTTTACTCTTTTGTATGTGGCCTTTGGCAGGTGATAAAAAGTATTCCTGTTTCTCAAAATCATTTTCTTCACGTTGGTCTTTGACAACAACATCCATACTCTCATTAAACTCTTCTGCCTTACCTTTAGATGGACTTTCGTAAGTTACTTGGAAAACTGAATCAGCAGCAAGTTTATCCTCCTCTTCTGAAGATGCGTAGCTGCTGCAGGTTGTTAACGGGTCAGCCTTAGCCCAGTCATTACAAGTACTTGCTGTCTGAGAGGCTTTCACTGTAGCTGATGTACTTCGACTAGATGAAGACCAGGAAGCCTGACACCTCTCTCTTTTGACTAAGTTTTGCTGCTTGCAACTGAAGCAAGACCTCAGGAGAGCTTTCTGAGGCTTTATCATCTCAAACTCTGCCACAGACTCTGAACCCTGCAGTTCAGCAAGGTCCTTGGTCCGCTTCTCTGTCTCCTTATAGATGCGGCAATACAGAATGGTCATCATGGACACTGGAATGTAAAAAGCAGCAATTGCAGTACCAAAGGTGATAATGGGCTCATATAAAAACTGTATCTGGCACTCTTCAGGTGGTACTGTTCGTTCACCCACAAAATACTGCCAGCACAAGATTACAGGTGCCCACAACACAAAGGAAATTAACCAAGCCAGACCAATCATGATGCCAGCTCTTTTGGGTGTGCGTTTGGCTCTGTAAGTTAAAGGCCTTGTGATGGAAAAGTATCTGTCAAAACTGATGACTAGGAGGTTCATTACTGAGGCGTTGCTAGCTACATAGTCCAGTGCTAGCCACAGGTCACAGGCAAGGCTCCCAAGAGACCAGTGTCCTATGAGAATATAGGACGTATAAAGGTTCATAGAAAATATTCCAATGATGAGATCTGCACAGGCAAGGCTGAGCAAGTAATAATTGTTGACAGTTTTAAGCTGACTGTTAACCTTGAAGGATATCATTACAAGAATATTTCCCACTATAGTTATTAAGCTTACAATTGCAGTTACAGTGGCAATAGTAATGACTTCCCAGAGGCTATGCCCTTCAAACTGCTTATGGTTGATGGATGAACTGTTTACAACAGTAGAATTGCTGAATAAATTTACTTCCATTCTTGGTTTTGGTGTATTGTCATCAGGATCTTAGCACTGTTCTATATTACTTTTTGTACTCGAAAATTTTCTTTTGGAGACAGCTGTAAAAATCAAAGGAAAAAACAGAAAAAGAAAGCAGCTCATTAAACATCACAGACTTCTATTAGAGTTACCATAAACCAATTGCAAAACAATCAAATTACCTGTGCTCTCTTTTTGAATTTTGAATACTGTTTCTACCATTGTGAACGTAACTAAAACACACAAATGTACATTCTAGGACAATGTATTCTGATATCTTATGAAATTTCTAAATGCATCAAAACAACTATTGTTTCTTAAGACAGTCAATCCTGCCAGTTCTTAGATTTTGAATACCTTAGGAGACATGCTACAAATTCTTAAAGACAGACTTTTAAAGTTTTGCAGTGCACTAAGACAGTGAGTCACCGTGTTGTTTCCTACAGAACTATGTAGAAGACATGTCAAGATTTTATAAATTATCTTTGAAAAATTTGGAGAAGTCACCATAAACAGAAAGAGAGTAAGAGGAAACTGAGAATGCATGGGGAGTTAGGAACTATGCTGGCATGGTGGCAGCAGGAAACAAATTAGGTGTTAGATGTGCTTGGGGCAACCGAGGGGGAATCTTTGAGTTGAGGAAGTGGGCAAGGCCAAGAAGATGTTTTTGGAAAAATAAGTGTGGCAGGAAAGACTTTTTGCTAATGGGAGAACTCAGGACTGAGGAGACTCATTGGGTGAGGCATGGAAGTGAATTTTGGGTAGTTTGAGTGAGTGAATGGTAGGGTTGAGGGTAGAAAGGAGTAAACTGAAGAGGAAGCAGCAATGGATGACCACAGTGACAAACAATGCAACAAAACCAATTTAATGCTTGCATAAACAGAGAAAGGTAGAAATAGCACCTCTGTCACTCTATTAATGCATACACACCTCTGATGTCCATCCCTTCCTACATTCTTCACTGCTGCTTTCCTGTCCCTATGAACGCAAGCCCGAATTAGACCATTTGGTTCCTTCACAGATATCTGCTGGGTTTTGAGTCATTCCATCACATCAGATGAACTAATCACTTGTTTGTTGCTTAATCTTGCTAGACTTGTAATTTTAGAATAGTCAAATAGTAGTTAGGTTTTTAAGTCAGAAATGAAAGGTAAATTATTAAGAGTTTGTTTATTGGCTATCTAGCCAGTATAAAACTAGTAAGACAAATCAGACACAGGTTCAGCTAAAATTATCAGATAAATTATCACATAAATCACCTATTAAAGTCCAACTAAGTCTTTCTGTATCAGATCTCTATTGTATGGTCTTCCCTATACATCCACACCTCTGTTTTCATCTTTCATCCTAACTGTCAGAACATTATTTTCTTTGGTCTTGGCAAGTGTCTTTTATTAACTGTAAGCTTTCACAGCCTATTCCTTTCCCACTTGTCATCATCTATCTTTTGTATGAATTAGTTGAGTCCTGTCTCTCATCAGCTCAATACAACAATGTTTTATAGCCACTTGTTGAATTTTCAGAAAAGCATCTTATTTTCTGTCATTGATCTCTTATTTGCTTTTTTTCCTTCACTTTTGTCCCAGGTCTCCTAAATATCCCCAGAAGTGTGTCATCTTTGTTCTTCAAACCCTCCCTAACGATTATATCCTGTTGTGATTAAATTCGATAATGGTAAGTATCCTGGCGTACTGAGACCACTGTCTATTGTAACACCCCAAATTGTTCTCCTCCATCTGTGTGTGTCTGTCATCTCCTGTCTTCTATTTAGATGTTTGTGCATCTGTATTCTGTTTATACACAATGTATATTGAACCTAACTTAACAGGATTCTGGTTCTTGTATAGGCCTAGTAATAATCATAATATATGCATCTGTTGTTCTAGTTTTTCTTCCCCTAACCATTTTGGGTTTTGCCTGTAACCGTCTAAATGGGTGACGGACCCCTCCCTGTCCTTATCTCAATTCCTGAGCCTTTTTGTTTCATTTTTCTCCTTCCCAGTGCTGGGGGGGGGGGGGGGA